TGCCAACCTGCCTTCAGGAGGGCCACACAGGTCAGGATGCCCAGAAGGACACCAGGCTCTGAGAAGCGACATGCAACTACGGGCTATCTGGACTCATCCTTTCTCCACTGGCCCTTGAGCACTGGGAGGGGTGGGCTGAGGGGAGAGACCAGGCTGCAGCACTTAAAACCGGCCTCCCCACCCCTGTAAGCCCTGTGGTTACAACAGGGCCCATCATTTAACATAAGTGGGGCTTCATCTGCCACCTCCTCCTGCCTCCAGTCACCCAGAGCTGACCACCAGCTCCTGCTCCTGCCCAACCCCCAGCTACCCTCCAAGACTCTATGCAGGCACCAGGGAGTCCACAAAGTCCTTCCTGCCCAGCACCTGTGCCCAACCCAGACCCAGGTTCCAGGCGGGCAATGCCCTGGTGTCTCACACTACTCTCGGGGCGCTGGCCAACCTCCCCAAAGCATTCCTTACTCTCGGCTGGAAATGCCTGTCTAAGGTCTGCCTTTTCCAGATCTCTTGACCAGTTCTGCTTGTTGTTTTTTTTTTCCATTTCACCCTTAACATACTATATTCTTTACTTATTTATGATATGAACGTGGGTTAGCTATCTCCCTCATTAGAAGGAAGCTCCCCAACCATATCGTTCATCTGTCTTGTTCACTGAAATACCCCAAGTGCCGAGAACAGCACCTGGCTGGTAGAAGCAGCCCAGGCGGTGCTTGCTGAATCAAAGAATAAATCATTTCCCTCAGTAGACTATCTGCCTCTTGAGAGCAGGACCAGTCTTAACCCTGTAACCCAGTGTGGTAGGCAGAATAATGCCCCCTACCCCAAACACGTGCGTGTGCGTGTCCTAACCTGGACGTGAGACTGTTCCCTTACACGGACATTACGCGGACTTCGCAGATGTGATTAAGTTAAGGATCTTGAGATGGGGAGATGATCCTGGATTATCCAGATGATCCTAAGGTAAGTGCAAGGGTCCTTACAAGAGGAAGGCAGGAGGGTCAGCCTCAGAGAAGGCGATGTGACGATGGAAGCAGAGGTCACAACGATGGGAGGTGAGAAGAGCTTGGCTGTGAAGATGGAGGAAGGGAACCAGGAGTCAAGGAAGCCTCTAGAAGCTGGAAAAGGCCAGAAAGGAATCCTTCCCAGAAGGAACGCAGATGTCGACGCCTTGATTCTAGCCCAGTGAATTGCATTTCAGACTTCTGACTTCCAGAATCGTCAGATAATAAATTTGAATTGTTTTAAGCCACTACATTTGTGGTAATTTGTTGCAGCTGCACTAAGAAACCAATGCACCAGGGACTGAACACACAGTGGTACGCAGTAAATGTCTGCGAAATGAACACTGTAAACTACTAAATAAAGTGTTATTCTTAGTCTCTAAAATAAATTTTAATCCATAAGAAAAGCAAAGAGTGATTTAAGCCATGAGGCAATGGTGATGGTGGCTATTATTTTTATAAGTCTTTCTTTTCCTCTAAATAACTAATTTTGACACCAGAGATGCTTATGATAATATTTCCTATGCTGGTAGGTCTTACATTTAACTTACGTAAGGCAGTTTTATTAATCAATATAAATTTCCTCCTCATAAAACCCTAAAGCAAGACTTAACAAAAAGAAAACAATTTATTTAATGAAAACTGGTCTTAACCAACGCACAATCAGTTGCATTCAAAGTTCTCACGTGTTTCCTCCGGCGGGGCCGGTGAGGTACATGCAAGGATTCTTCTTTCTGAACATTTCAAAATGCTCGAGCCCCATGAGTTTATTTTTAACGCTGACATTTGAGAAAAGATAGAAGTGACAGGAAATCATTGAGGACACGTTTCTGGGTCCAACTGAAAATTTAAATGATCTGAATTATGGGCCAAATCTTTTCTGTGTCTTATTAAAAAGTAAGAAGAAAACAATCTAAGAAACAGTTTCTTCTCAGCTCTTTGCTTTCCAACCGCCTCAGCCTACCCACCAGGCCTGTCATAATTTTCATCCCAGAAACTGAAAACCCAAAAAGACTACAGATGAATCACTTTCAATTATCACTGATAAACTGTGATATGTAAGATTCTCTTCAATTTACATTAATAAATCAAGGAAAAATAAAATTAAAAACGGAGCATATAACTATTATTTTATATGGGAAAGAGATCTTGAAATTTTTAAACATCCAGAACCAATTTATGTATAATCTAGAATTTGGTTTTGGCCCTAGAGAAGAGATAGATATATATATATATAACAGAAAACCTTAAAAAGATCTCAACATAAGCTATCCAATAGTACTTTTAAAACACTTTTTCTGCAATATACAGCATGTGCTTTATGACAAGGTGTTCCAGCTTTTTTCTCTACAGGATATAACTGGAGAATCAAAACACGAAACCCACAGTGCACTCAATTCCACTTAATAAACATTTGTTGAGCCACTGCTATGGTAATATCTTGAGCTGGAGAAAGACGAAGTCCCCAGCATTCAGGGGCTCCCCGTACATAAAGGAAGAGCATTACTGCTTACCAACAGGTGCTCTAGAGTTCACATCTAGGTGGCCTAAGCACACTCATTAGACAGACATAATTTCTCTACTAAAAAATTCCTAAACCAGAATTTATTAAAAAGAATTGAAACTAATTTATTTTTCTAATAAAAACAGATATATTTAAATGTAAATGATAGGACAACTGAATTCAGAGAGCATTCTTTCACCTAGGAGGGCCTGACATACTGCACTCCTTTGCCATAGGAGTAGGCGTTGGATGTCTACCTGCTCATCAATCCATCCATCCATTCTCCCATCCATCATTTATCAACAGCCTCGGTGAGCTAGGTGCCAGGCCAGGCAGACAGGATAACGACTGGGACACACATTCTCGGGGAACATTTCCAAATGCAGTTCCTCAAGACTATGTTAAACAGTGACTCTCCTTTTAGCCTCGTGTTTTCTACAAGCCAAAAGATTCTCTGAAGGGTGCCACTGTTTTCTGCTACTGCAAAGACATCCTATCTGTTCACATTGGTTGTACCGGATGCTTATCTGCCTTATCCCTTGTCACGCTGTCAGTCTAATGCATCAAAGCACATTCAAGCTGTATCCTAAATCTGCAACCTTATGTATCACTCCACTGCATGCAACGCTCAATAAATCATGTCCCTGAGTAGCAGCAAATCAATCCAGTTCCCAGAGAGAAGATGCAAATCACAATCAGTAGCACTCTCCTGCAATTCTCAAAAGGATGGACATGTGTAAAACATCCAAAGCTCTCCTGATACCATCCCAAATAGACTCCTCCTGATGTGCCAGGCCTAGCTCAGGACTCCACATGTCATGATGCAAGGGAGGAGTTTCAGAAGAGATTTATAAGACAGTCTGAAGACTGCAATCTCGTAAATACAAAGAGAAGCTAAAAGAGTGGTTAGCCTGGACATGTACAAATCTGTTCCCAACCACTACAGAATGCCAGGCCACCGCAGACTGAAACATCGGACACCTACTGTTGGACTTCTGTCCAGGATCTTCTTGAGAGAAACCACGCTAACGGAGGAGGGTTTCTAGGACACACAGTCCAAACATCCACCTGGACGTGCTAAGTCTCGTCTGTGGATCAAGAAATGCAGAGTTGAACCAGAACGATACCAGTTCCCCAGAGAATTACGTAGCCTGAATTTCATGCTTCGTGTTGTGCCCTGGGCACACCTCAGGGGACAGTCATGGAGACACAACGGGAAGTCTATTGCTGATTCATCAAAGACAGGTTGTGGGGACATCACTAAGGGGTCCCTATGTGAGAGTCACATTAAGAAATATCTTTGTTAGTGCCAAGAAAACCTTACTCCTTTCACTGTTAACTGTTTCATGTTTCCTTCTGCTTTCTGCTATAAAATTCAGCACCCAATTTACAGTCAACCTTGGACAACTCTAGTAACACACACCTCTCCCAGGTCTCTGCCAATCGTCAGAGATCTGCCCCAACCACTCGTCATAAAACAGCCCCCACCCACAGTGCTCCCCGTTTTCTCCACCTCACTTGTTCACCACCTACATCCTTTATGTCCCAGTTGCCTATCTGTGTTTCATCTTTTTCCCACCAGAGAGTCACCACCTGGCAGGCAGACTCTGGCTCGCTCCTGGAACTATAGCAACTAGAAGCCGCCTGACAAGAGCAGGCACTTCCTAAATACTTACTGAGTGAAAGGCCGAAAGAAGGGTGACTGTGAAACTCTAGCTTCTGTGTTTCAACTCTCTCCACGGACTTGCACTTTGATTCTAAATTATGTACCCTGGGTCTCATGTGTTTACTGCTGTTTTTGTTTTCTTAAGGACGTGTGTAAGGCAGCTTAAATCTTTTGTAAAATGAAGCAGGACTGTAGAGAGACAGGCACAGACAGAAAAAAAGGATGATCTAATTACCAAACACACTGCATTTTAACAGATGGTCAAGTCTCTACTGAGGATGAAAGAGGAAACGAGCCAAACACTATAACTGTTAATTAAGTAGAGTGACTATTCAACAACTGATCATTCTCTTCCTCCCAGTTCAGTCAGCCTGTGTTGATTCGATCAGTGATGTGTGATGTTTAAAAGGCCAGTCCACTGGGAAGCCCACGGTTTCCCTGGCTGTCCCCATATTCCTTCCACTCCACTCACTCATGACGTAGGCACCAAGGGATGCTTTTCATGGAAGATGTGTCCAAATGTGTCCACATCATGCTCATTTTCACTGTGGGATTCTTTGAAAGGAAATGAATGAAAAGTTTCCAGAATTTTTTTGAAATATACTATACCTCTCTCTAAACATACACCTCCACATATGGAGCTACTGAAGATACAATTCCATGATAATCAGAGGTAGAATAAGAAAATGCATGAGCCTAGCCCAATTTCACTCCAAGTTCCATGTTAAGAAAGTAAGTTAAAGCCTGCAAAACCTAAGGGGGCAGGAGAGAAAGAGGGCATGTGGCAGTGTGAGGAGATAATATTTAAGGGGGAGGGGAGGGTCCTTACCTGTTTCACAACAGTCACCGTCCCTGGTGCCATGGCAACCACCGAGGCAACGGCAGTGGCGTCGTGGGTCTCGGTGCCCAGCTCGATGATCTGCTGGAGGATGTTTACAGCTGTGGGGTCAAGTCGCTCACCTTACGAGGAAGAAGCAAACAGAAGCCCATTAAGGCCACTGGCCCTGAAGGTCACTGAACACAAAATAAGCCCTTAATAGAGGCCACTCTTGGGTGGTGCCTCCTCAGGGGATGCATGGGTTCTCGGTAACTGCTAATTTTGACAACACTAAAAATTTGTATGGTACTCTATAGCTTACAAAGCACTTTCTATATGGACATCTCAAAACCCCAAACAACCCTGTGAGGAGATGACACTGTAATGATATTATACCCATTTCATAGATTAGGTACTTTCACACAAAAAAGCCAAGAGACTTGTCTTGGGCTGTTGGGTCAGTTACATCACAAAGCCAGAGCTCAAGCCTAGATATTCTGAATCCAAACGTGGTAACACAAGACCGTCTCTCAAAACAGAGCCCCCGAGAAGCCCCAGCTAATAGGTTAAACTGCAGAGTTAGTTTCCCTTGAGTACGTACATGGTAGGTGGTCAATGAGGGTGTGCCAGACAAATTACATAAGCTATGGGCAAAACATCCAAGGATGTCTCAATTATCAAACCAGTGGGCTTTAGAATTCCAAACCAATTTAAGTTTGGGGTTCTATTTTAATCATCTCAAAAGACTGGAATCCGTATCATCAGGGCAGCTATTAAGTATGCCCTGTCTGCTCTCACCATCTGCTTGACCATCTGCGACTCTCCTGAACACGGCACTCTGACCCTGATCATTAATTCACTAAAAGGGAAATGACCCCTTGATCTGCATATTAGCATAATATTACGAAGTCTCTGTCAATGTTTGCAACCTCGTGGACGGGCATTCCGCCGGCCGTGTTCCAACGTGAACCAATCAATACAAGATGGCAGAAGCGGCACTTGACATGTTCTGTGTAGAGGGTAGGATGTGGCATATGACTGAGGCAATGACGACATTAGTGACTTGCATATATTCACATTACATGACACCCAGAATTCCCCACTACATACATACATACACACACATACACACACACACACTCTGTCTCTCTCCCCTTAAGGCAGATGTTTCAACTGTGCCTTGCAGCCAACAACTCTGAATATCCAAAGGCTCAATAAAACATTTATTTTAAAAACTTACTGAGACAAGGTTTACTTCCTCATCCGTTTACTCCCTCAATGACCATTTACCGAGGCTAACTCTCAGCCAGAAACATGGTTCCTAGTGAGAGTACAGACAAAGATCTCACACTCTCTCTCCCCTTCTCCTTCTGGCGCTTACAGGCTACTGAGACAGATTTGTAAGCAAATTATTACAGCATCTGGTCGGTTCTGTATCAGGAGGGCAATTAGGGGAACGCTGAAGAAAAGCCAGGTGGGTTCCTGGCAGATGACATACAATCCGAACGCTGAAGATGAAGATGGGTTTGCCAGAACAACTCTGTGGGAGGAAGGGCACAGACATGTCCCAGAGAGCACTGGAGTGCACGGGTAAGGAACGTGGCCCATGCTGAGAACCACAGAGGCTGGCTGAGGAGAGCACAGCTCAGAGGTAGAGGGGAAGAGAAGCAACGCAGGGAGGCTAGGATCCAGCACACGCAGGCCTGGCCTGCTGACCTGCAAAGGCTGAATTGTATTCCAAGAGCTAGGAAGAGACCCTGGAGAGGCATTAGAAGGAGTGAGTGTGTGAGTGAGCGAGCGTGTGTGCGCGGGGGGGATGAAGACAGGCAGGCTGCATTTGCAGGGCCTGAGCAATCACTGAAGTCACTGAACATGAACAGGAAGGAAGGAAACGAAGGCAGACCAGGCCTCAGCTCTGGGAACTGCATTGAACAGCCAGGGCCTCAACTTTCCCACCTGCAGAACCTGCCACTCTAACAGGCTGCGAAGTGCAAGGGCTGTCTCCTGAACCCCCTCAAGCTCAGCAGGTAGTGAGCGCAGCCCTGGCAATTAATCCTCCCTGACGTGACCGGCCCAAAGGAGTTTTCTGCACTGCTTTCTTACAATCTGGGGTTTAGGGGTTTAAGAACCGGGCAAAAGTGGCATTTCCGAACGCCTATCTCCTGTCACCATTTAATGCTTTCCTCTTAATCCCACCTGCCTGTCCTCTGTCCCCCAAATACAAACAGGGCTGTTGTCTACTACATTAACTGGGCTTCTGTTCACATTCTAAAAAGAGCATTAAGAAAAAATGTTTTCTAAGCATAATGTCCCAATCACCACTAGGCTGGCACAGTGGTTTGTTTTTCAAAATTGATCCAACATTTGAAAATGATGACATTTGGAAAAAAAAAATCCTGATTTGGGACTTTTCAGAAGAACTGGGAAGCAGGCAGCCCTGGGCCTGCAGCTCTGCAAGGCGGCCACTGTCAAGGCAAGCAGCTGTGCCCTCAGTCTCAGCCACGCCACCCACTGCACTGCCTGCCTGGCCCCTCTAGACCCTGGAACAAGCCCCCTATAACAGATGCCCATGAGGAACATGGAATGGGGACAGTGCCCCAATGAGAAGTCAGGAAACCTAGACGCCAGGACCAGCTCCAACACCTCAAAGTGGGTGACTCTCAGCCAACCATTTACAATGGAGCAAGCTCCTCTGCCTGCGAAGTCAGAACAGTAAGACCTGCTTCTCGCACAGGTTGTTCTGAGGATTAGACATGACAGTACTTGTGGAGATCTGGCAACACTGTGATAAGGCACTACCTTTGTTGTGGGTCTATTCTAGAACATTTCAAGAGGCAGAGATCTCCAAGCTTGACAATGGGACCACTTCTGCAGTCAAAATGCTGGGTCAGGGATTCTGAAGTAGATCAACTGGTGGACAGCAGTCACTCACAAATTCATTCATTCGGCATGTCTACTAAAGACCAGCTCTGAGACGTCACAGGGAGACAGGGTGTGCACCCTCACCACTCTCAGAGGTGTATCTCAGGTCCTGGAGCGCGGCCACGGCTGCCTGTGTCCCCTGAACATCCTCTTCAGCTTCTGTGATGTGCAGATACTGGGTGGAGGGCTCCTCAGGAGCTTCTGTTGCTGGCTAAATAGAAGCATATCATCATCTAAGTGACCTTCCAGAAGATCACCTGTTACCCAGAAGTCTCAAGATACTGTATTAAGATAAAACAAATGCACACAAGCAACACTTTGCAATATCTCATTTACCTGGTACCCCTGAGAAATCAGTTGCTCCGATAAAAACATACTTCCCAAAGAGAAAACTTCTCTTTGCAAGTACCTAGACTTTCTAAAACCAGCCTTGGTGGAAAGTTTCCTGCTACACATTCTTGCCTTAGGAAACAGAATATGCTGATTATAGCTAGACTAGACACGCTCAGAAATACTTGTACTTGCTCTTCTAATGGCTCCTCTGTCTCCTCCCACTGCTATCAGTACTGCCTCTAATCTTCCCCGACAGAGGAAGGGCACAGCAGTGGGATGGTGGAAGGAAGCTACTGACATGTAAAGCTTGTAGTACAGGTCCCGGCACGTAGTAAGAGCTCAGTAAATCTTAGCTATTCATGCCATTCTTATTTTCATATGAAGGATACGATAAACAAAGCCGAACAAAGAAAATACATCTGTGCAGAATCAGGACCTGCGAGGGCGGGAGGAGCTGGTGCTACATTCCCAGGCGCCTCGTTCCTCAAGGAGAGAAGAGGTAGGACAGAATTTTCACAGCGCTCGATACTGATAATGACCTCTTTCTGGAAGAGATGAGGAGTGCAAGTAAAACTCTAGGGCAGGAAGCATGACTGTCATCAATAAAGAAAAACAAAAAGGAGGCCTTCACACAAAATTTATAGGAGCCAAAGTGATCACGCTCTGTAGCACTTATCAGTAACCAACACAGGTTCAGAATAGCAGGTGATTATGCTTTTACAGTCAAGTGGCCAAGTTCATTTAGGTGTTTCCAGCCTGACATATAGTACACATCCAATAAACATCTGATGAATGCATAAATGAACAAAAAGAAGCATATTTCCTTTAAAGCACCATTAAGTGACGTATTGGCCAACACTGATCGGATCCAAGGAATGCCTTAGCCTGTGAAAGAGCAAGACGCACACGGAATGTCTTCTCCTTCTCATTCCGGGGAACTCTGTGTAATAATCACTTATGGGAAGGACAGCACTCTTTGCAAGGCATTCCTGGGAGCCAGGCGACAACCTAAACTGCTGGGAAAGGCAGCTTGTCATTCACAGGTGACCACCGCAGGCCCAGCTTCTTGGCTGCTCTGCTGTCTCACTTCTGGAGTCAAGTGCATGGCTTTGGGTCAACTATTTTTGTTGGGTTCACAGCTCTGCTTAGGGTGTTGGAATCTGCAAGAAGCAAGGCCTTCAGAAGAGAGGGGCATCACTGTGTGCATTTATAACAGCACCAACTGGCCAAAAGAGATGGGGTTTTACATTAGGAATTGGCACTCCAATGTCTATTTGTTAACACAGAGCAACTCCCTGCAGAATGAACTTGAAACCCCAGAGGATTATTTGTCTTATCATAGATGAGGATGTGATGCTGATGACATCACCACCACCACAACCAATAATCATGGCAGCTGCCATTTCCTGAGGGCCTACTGGGGACTAGATATTGACCTCAGCGTTTTATATGCCATCTCTCTCAACCCTTTGACCACTTGGGTATTATTAGCCTCACTGTATGGACGAGAACACCACAGACACAGAAGTTAAATAAATAATGGATCAAAGTCAAGCCGTTTATAGGGGACAGTGCCAAGATTCAAAGTGAATTCTGACCAACTCTAAAGCACATACTCAAATTTTCTTATAGAAAATTTCAAACATACACAAAAACAGAGATGAGTATAATCAACCTCCACGTATGCATCACTCAATTTCAACAATTATCAACTCATGGTCAGTCTTGTTTCTCCTATGCCCCCATACACTCCACACACTGCCCTTGAATTATTTTGAAGCAAATCCAGAAATCACATCAATTCATCTATAAATATTTTAGAATGTATCTCTAAAAGAAAAGTCTTTCAAAACATAGCTACACCACCACTCAAACACTTAACAGTTAATTCCTTAATAGCATCACATATCTAGATGGTGTTCTAATATCCCCAATTATCTCATTTTTTCACAATTTATTCTTAAAACCAAATTTAAGTAAGTTATTCAATTCCAGACATTAGAACTGATTGCTATGTCACATAAGACTTTGATTGATAGGTTCTCCCTTCATTCTGACTTTTTCCTCCCTACTTACAGTTTTGCTGGGGAAAGTGGCTTTTTGCCATTACAGTTTCCAACAGTCTGGATTTTGCTGACTGCATCACCATGGAAGCATTTAGCATGCTCCTTTGTCTACTGTATGTTCTGTAAAGTGCAGTCAGATGTATAAGCTTAATCAGATCCTGGTTTCCTTTTTGACAAGAACATTCACGGGCTACATTGTATACTTTCATCAGGAGACATGTGATGTCTGGATTGTCTCTTTCTTTTGTTTCTGTTTTTGTGATGTGAGCAGGTAACTAATGATCATTGCTAGGTCCAAGACATCATTCGAGGGCTGCAAAATGGTGATATTCTAAATCTTCATTTGTTAGCTAGAATGCTTCTATAAAGAGAAACTTGTCTTCATTAAACATTTGGTTACAGTGAGGTGTAGTTTGCTTAGAAAAGGCAAAATAACTGACTCTTGGCCTTTATTTACCAAAATAGAGTTTTATTTATCAAAATAGAGTTGCTTCCCTAATATCCTACTAAGATGACTAATGAGCTTTTTCCCAGTATCATTATAAACTCATGGACTTAAACATACTTGATGTGTTCACTGTAGTTATTAACACTAACAGCAGCCTCAGAGTAACAACACCGACCCTACCACAGTAAGAGAATAAGTGAAAACAGTGCTTTTTTTTGCAGTTCTTTTTGGCCATCAGTTATATGCCACTAGGAGAACAGTCAAATTTCCATCTTAAAGGCTCTTGAGATAGTCCCTCTCTGTGTTGTTATGCCATTGTTTTGATATACAGTTAGAATCATTTATTTCATTTTACTCTCGATTTTTAGGGCTTGCTTTTTTTAAAGTTTAATTTTGTGGGCCGGCCCTGTGGCTTAGCGGTTAAGTGCGCGCGCTCTGCTACTGGCGGCCCAGGTTCAGATCCTGGGCATGCACCGACGCACCGCCTCTCCAGCCATGCTGAGGCCGCGTCCCACATACAGCAACTAGAAGGATGTGCAACTATGACATACAACTATCTACTGGGGCTTTGGGGAAAAAAAGGAGGAGGATTGGCAATAGATGTTAGCTCAGAGCTGGTCTTCCTCAGCAAAAAGCGGAGGATTAGCACGGATGTTAGCTCAGGGCTGATCTTCCTTAAAAAAAAAAAAAAGGTTTAATTTTGTTTTTATTATTACATAAAATATTTTCATGGTTTCAGAGGCAAATCTGCACACCTGGGTATGCTAAGAGAAGTTGAGCTTCTCTCCTTATCCCCTCCATCTTGTCTCCCTCCCTTTTCCACATACAATTCCCTCTTTTTATGATTTTGTTTTAAAATATTTTTAGATTTACAGAAGAGTTGAGAAGATAGTGCAGAGAGTTCCCGTATACCCTTTGCCCAGCTTCCCCTCAAGTTAACATCTGACGTAACCATGGTACAATAATCAAAGCCAAGAAATTAAGATTGGAACAAGGCTGTTAACTAAATTATAAGCTTTATTCAGACTCCACCGGTTTTTCACTGGTGTCGTTTTTTTGTTCCAAGATCCAATTAGGATCCCACAGCGCATCGAGTGATTGGTCATGTCTCCCCCGTCTCCTCCAACCTGAGACAGTTCAGCCTTTCCTTGTCTTTCATGACCTTGAGAGTTCTGAGGAATCCTGGTCAGGTACCTGACCACACACATCATCACATCATTTGGATATGTCTGTTGTTTCTCATGATTAGACAGAGGTTGAGGATTTTCTGAAGAATATCACAAGGTGAAGCGCCCTTCTCATCACATCAGGTGGTACATGATATGTCACTATGAATTATTACTGAGGGTTCAACCTCGGTCCTGTGATTAAATTGGGGTCTGCCAGGTGCCTCTACTGTAAAGTTAATACTTTTCCCTCTGTAACGAATAAATATTTGGGGGGAGATATTTTGAGGCTATGTAAATATTCTCTTTCTCCTTAAACTTTTGCCTACTAATTGTAGCATTCATCAATGGATCTTGCCTGCTCCTATTATGACTGTGGTGTTCTAATGGTGATTTTCTATTTCCCACATTCCTTCCTCATTTATTAATCAGAATTCTTCTGTAAGGAAGAACTGCTCCTCCCCCACCATTTATTTATTCAATCAATTATTTATATCAGTATTGACTCATACATAATGATTTTATTCTTTGAGTTATAGTCTAATACTATCAACATTTATTTTGTTATTCAAATATTGTTCCAGCTTTGGCCATTAGGAATTCTTTGGGTTGTCTCATCTGTCCTTTTGACATGCCTCCATCATTTGCGTTCTTTGTTTTTTTGGAGCATGTTGTTACTTCCTAGTACCACAAAACGCTCCAGAATCATCTTACATATTTTCTGCCTCAGCCCTGGAATCACCCACTTTTCAAAGGGATGCTGGTTCCTTTTATTGGAGAATCCTATTAGAAACCAAGATCTGGGTACTAGGTGTCCTCATCGCCACTGGAGTGTCACTGCTTCCAGGTCCTCTCAACACTAAAAGCTAAGAACATGTATGTACACTAACCATGTAAACACATATCTAGAATTATTTCTGTATCTATCTACTGGTATATATATACATAAACAATCTATATATATGTAAGTATATAATAGTGCTGAAATAAATAGCCTTGTGCAGACACCTTTTCTCATTTTTGTCAGTATAACTTCGGGATAGTTTTCTAATGATGGGATTGTTTAGTTAATGGATAAAGAAATGCACATGTAATTTGACTAGCTATTGCTAAATTCCCCTTCATAGAGATGACACCATTTTACATTCCCACCAGCGATGTATGAAAGCGCATTTCCCCCTTAGCCTAACAGAGATGATGTCAAACTTTTGGATTCTTGCCAATCTAATAGATGAGAAATTCTCTCTCTGTCTAGTTTTAACTCACATTTATTATGTGTGAGGTTGATCATGTTTTCAGATATTCAAGGTCATTTGCATTTCTTTTTCTATGAACTTATCTCTTTCCCATTTTCCTGTTGGGTTGTTGATCTTTTTCATCAATATTTTTAGAAGCCTTTATAACGTAAAGATATTCATCCTTTTTCTATGATATAACTGAAGACTTTTTTTGTCATTTGTCTCTTTATGAGTTCTTTTCCATAAGACTTTTAAAAAATTTTTTCATGTAGTCAAATTGTTTTCAATCTTTGCTCTTACTGAATCTAGATTTTGAGTTATAATTAGGAAAGTTCTCCACACTCTCAATTTAGAAATGGACTAGTTTATGTTTTCTTCTGATATTTGTAAAATATCACTGTTTTTACATTTAAATCTCTGACCCTTTTCGTCTAGCCTCTCTTTATACATAAGCTATTGATTATTATATATTGATGTTTTAATCTCCTGCTTATTGTGTATAGTAATTTTTCATTCCTTCTTTTGGAGTTTCCAAATGTATAATCCTGTCATCTGCACATATAGATACTTTACTTCTTTTCTTCTGATTCTTCTGTCTCTATCTACTTTGCCTCATCTAACGCACTAGCTGAGGTCTCCCACATGCTGTTAAAAAGTAGAGATCCTGGGGCATCCTTGTCTTGTTCCCAGCTTTAGCAAGACGCTCTCTGGTGTTTCCCTCCCTATGAAGTAAGATGCTGGCTTGGGGGCTGAGACACATATACTTTGCTTTTCATCTAAAGATACATTCATCAAATTCTCCCTTATTTATCCGTATTTATCCGTGGAAGCTGAATTTTGTCAAATACCTTTTCTGTATCTATGAAGACGATCCTTTCATTTTTCTCCCTAGTTCTGTTATTATGATGTATTATATTAACATATTCCCTCCTACTGAACCGCCCTTCCTTTGCATTCTGCAACAATCCCCACACTGTCATGATGTGTTATTTTTTTCATCTGTTGTTGAATTTGTTTCAAAGCCTTTACTCTTAACCACTGGATGCTCTGATGGCCTAAAAAGTCCTGAGGGAAGTGGTTCTCAGCAGGGGATGATTTTGACTCCTGGGGAACACTCGCAATCTCTGTGATATTTGTGGTTTTCACAACTGGGAATGCTAGTGGTACCTAGTGGGTAGAGGTGAATGATGCTACTAAACATCCTAGAATGCAGAGGACAGCCCCCTACAACAAAGAATTATCCAGATCATAATTTCAATAGTGCTGAGTTTGAGAAATCCTGCCTCAGATAAACTGCAATTAGGCCATGTAGAGACCCCTGGTATCTGAAAAGAGAACTGCCTACTGGCTTTTACAATACAGATGCATTTTTAGCTAGGTGACTGGTTCTGATCCTGGAGGGAGAAACAAAGATGGCATGTAGGAGCCATGCCTTCAGTGGAGGGAGAGCAGGGCCCTTCCCTGCCTCCTGGTGAGCACTGGCAAGAGACTCCCGGCCTTGCATTCTGCTTTCAGATGCAATAACTGAAACTCTGAATTTGTGAATAACAAGTGAAAATGTCAAGGAGACCAATACAGACATTCACAAAACAGCCTAAATACAACACAGAGTAAGAAATCACAGCATGGCCCAGATCTCAACCAGTCAGACCCCTAAGATAGGAGACACAATTTGAAAAGATTTCCAAGTTTCCCTATGGGCAAACCCAGTGCTCTGAGGAACAGCTGTCTGTGCCCAGCACCTGGGCTTGCCTGGTTCACCACTTGTGTTTAGAAACGTCAGGATCCAAACCACACTTTAAAAAGTTACCTCCCACTTGGGATCACCTTCGTTTTCCACCAACTTCAGGCCATGCTTGTTCTTCAAGTGCCTGTTGAACTCCCATTTGGTGCCATACACAAAGCTGCAGACAGGACACTTCAAACCACCTGGAAGCACAGACAGAGGACAGAAGTGTTCACAGCACATAAAACAACAGCAGTTCCGCCTTCCATCCAAATGCCTCAAATCTAAGGAATGTATTTTTTTCACTCAATCCAAGCTAACATTAGTACTGGAACAGAATAGCAACAGTATATATGTTTTTCATGGCAGAGATTTTAAAACTTAATGTATTCTTTTTCATTTATTGAATGAGCATTTGCATAGAGCCTCATATATACTTAATATTTCAGGTGCCAGAGAGAAATAAGATGAATCACATAATTCCCTAGCCAAGTGGGTAAGTGACAAATTATTCTTTCATTTTTTCACTTTACTAAATAACAAGTAATTTAGAAAACAGAAATAACTGAAGAACAATGGCTGCTTTTCTCAATCTCCTTTGTCCCAAAACACTAAGACCAAGACCAGAGTCTCAGTCTCCTTCACAACAGAAGCTGAGCCATTGGTATAAATTCCCATGTGAATTTCCCAGTAAAGGACAAATTAAAGAGCTGGTCATATCATGAAATGTCACTATTTATTGAACTGATTAAATTTTGCACATGTTCTTGGAAGTGTTTGGATGCTTTAATTAAGAGAATTTAAAACTCTAGGTTAAAAAAAACACTGAGTCACACAAAAGACTATCTTTTTAAAATTATATCATGTATATATGGAATACTACTCAGCCACAAGAAACGATGAAATCCAGCCATTTGTGACAATATGGATGGGTATTGAGGGTATCATGCAAAGTGAAATAAGTCAGAGGGAGAAGGTCAAATACCGTATGATTTCCCTCATTAAGCAGTAGATAATAACAACAACAAACAAACACATAGAGACAGAGATTGGATTCTTGGTTACCAGAGGGGAAGGGGGGAGGGAGGAGGGCGAAAGGGATAATTCTGCACATGTGTGTGGTGATGGGTTTTAGTATTTGGGTGGTGAACATGATGTAATCTATGCAGAAATAGAAGTATAATGATGTACACCTGAAATTTATACAATGTTATAAACCAATGTTACTGCAATAAACAAACAAAAAATTATATCAGAAGCAGCAACAATTATGGACTGGACAAAAATCACTTCTAACAGGTTGTGCTTTCGGAAGCAAACTCAGTCTCAGGAGGCTAATTGCTAATTGCAGCCCTGGCGTCAGATCTCCAAATCTACAGGGACGCTGAGCAGGCCAGGGTCAGGCCTCTAACCTGAGCTGGGCTGGGACAGCGAGCGTCCTTGCCAAAGTTGCCATCACCATCATTGTCTGGAACTTTGGGGCTATCCAGGTCCAGCAGGTCACTCCCAAGTGCAACCTCCTCAGGCCTCTCATCCATTCCTGCTGCACACCCTATTCTGGTCCACGCTTTCCCTACCCATGAGAAGACCATGGCCCACGGCTTCTGCTCTCCACACCAAGCCTTTCACTGCACCCTGGAGTCACAGAACCCCGGCAACAAAATTCCCTACATTGCCCTCATCACATTAACCTCATCCCAGAGAGCTGGCTCCCTCCCTCCATCTTGAGGCTCTCTGATAAGTCCTCTCAGGTGGAGGCCATTCCTGCCCAAGAGCCCCAGGTAAGGAAGAGGCCAGGGCCAGGGCCGGGCAGCAATGCCGCCTCCACTCTAGAGCAGGTGCATTTCCTAGTTTTGTTCCTCCTGCACACAGTGTTACCCGTCAGAAACTTTGGCGCCCAGGTCCTCTCCATCCCAGTCCCTCTCCACATAAAGTCTACAATATTAGGTGCCTTTAACACACTAACCTCTCAGTTCTTTGACTTCTTCTACCCCAAGAAACTTCCTGACCACTTCACTACTTATGAAATCTCATTCTTGTGATTAGTTAGCACCAGAGGGGCTAAACCCAAACACCCCGCTCTGAGACAGTCGGCCAGCTTGCGCTCTCTCTCTCAGCACCATTAACATTTGACCTCTTGAGGCTCTCCAGTTTGCACCCTCTTCCATTTTCTCCCAATCCACCAGGCCCCCCCCATCTCTGCTTCCCTCTCTAAAGAGCTTCTACTCCAGAGCCCACACCTTCAAACTTTTATTGACAAAACCCTCAACATCCTCAGCCACTGCTTTCTCTCAAACCTGCATGGCAAATCCATCACCCAGAATCAAGCCAACCACCAGCCTTCCCTGCTCTTATCCTAGGAGGTCGAGGCAAATCACAAAACCATCCTTATTTCTACTGCCATGTTTCCAACCTCAAGGATTGTTTCCCTAGTCCACTCTTTCCAATTATCCAGAAGGGCAATTAGTTATCCATCAATCTCATTAAGTCCCCTACATGATCCTCAACTTCCTCTTTCAATCACAACATACGTTCTTGCCTCCTTCTTCATAATGAGACCAGGTGAGAACTCTCTCAACTTGCTTGAACTACAAAGTTCTGTTCGCCTGCACCCTTCTATGCCTGCGCTGATCCCATCTGTGGACGAGGCTCTCCTCTTTGTTCGGAGACCAGGCTCTTTACCTTGCTATAGCACTATTCTCAAACCTATCAGACTCAATGCCCCTTTTTATAGCAAATATTTTCACACTCCCTTATTATTCTGAAACGAAATCTGTAGACAGTATAACCTACTAAGATATATAGTTTCTGAAAACCAACACACTAATATAAAAGAGAAATAAAAGGAATGTTCTGTATAATAAGCTAACATATATTTTAAACTGTGACTGCTCAGACACAATTACAGAAGACATTTGTAAAAAGCCCCTCAAGCTTCCTAACTCTCCGTGTGTACAGGCACCATTCCACTAAGCACCCTGGTCCTCAGGCCTCCGTGACCCTTCCACCACCTGGCTTCCCTCTAGCTTCACTGGGCCCTCTCACTCTATCCCTTTGCTGGCTCCTGTTCATCCCCCAGGCCATGAACCCCAGCTGAGCACTCAGACATTATGCTCCAGGCTCCTCCTCCTGCCCTCCCTACATGACGGTGTGCCCTGGGCCACCCCGATTCCTAGGAGACTCATCACATTTTACATATTATCCATAAGCTGGTGACTGTCCTGTTCGTACTTCCAGCCCAGACCTCTGCACTCCAGTCTGAGATGTCTGTCCAGCAGGTACCACACCCTCACAGGGCCCAAACAGAACCGCGCATCCCAGTGTCTCCCATGGTCCTCCCAGCCCAGGCCACCATCATCGTCGTCGTCTTTTACAGAGATGGGAGCAAAGGGCTCCTAACTGGTCTCCCTGCAGCCACTGTTGGTCCTCCACTGTTGATCTGCTCTCCACTTAGCACACAGAATGGTCTTTCATAAACATAAACTAAATCACATCTCTCATTAAGGTATAAAACTCTCCAATGGCTTTCTATCACAGAATAAAATCCCAGCTCCTTCCTGTGGCCTGCGACCCCTACGTGACCTCGTCCCTGCCTCCCTCTCTGACCTTGTCTCTTCCCCTCCCCCTGTTCTCTCCTTTCTCTGTCTTTTGCATTGACCAAGCTCATTCCCTTCTCAGGACACCTGCTTGGAAGCTCTTCCTCCAATATTTCCATTTGCCCCTCTCCTCCTCCTCACTAGGGTCTCAACTTATGCCTCATCTCTTCAGAAAAGCCTCCTCTGTCACTCCTAGCTAAGGCAACCTGTCAAACACACAGAGCCCCTAAAACTCTCAACAGGATTTCCCTATTGTATATTTGTTATCAAAATGATAGTACCTAAAATTGCATTATTTATCATTCCTATACATGTTCCTTGTCTGTCTTCCCTTCTAAAATGGTCCCCTCCCTTCTTGAGGGCAGGGGCTTCGTCCAGCTTCTTCCCCACTCGGGTCCCAGCTCCTGGCATCCAGCAGGTCCTCAATCAACATGTCTTGCCTCACTGACTCTGCGTCTCAGCAAATCCTCTTCTTTCTTCAGGTCTTTCTCCAACCAACCCCCAACTCTCCTCTGTATGTTTGCCCCTTCCCTCTGCACTCATCTTTCCCCTCAGCAGATAAATATATTCAGTCTTATCCCAGGGGGAAAAAGCCCATTCTCCTAGCTAGGTACAGCCTCATCTTTCCTCCTTCCTCCACAGTCAGGATTCTGGGAAGAGACTCCAGGTCCAAGAACTCACGAGAAACTGGTGCCACTCGCTACTTCTGAAACGGACAACAGGCTGGGAGGCAAAGTGGGGAGGGCCAGCTTTCACTAAATAGCCTCCTGAATCTTTTAAATTTTATTCCATGTGAGCATAATTACCTATTCAAAAAAATAGCAAAATTAAGATTATAAATCTAAACCAGAAATGTAATATGCAGTCATCATGTCCTTGCCTCTCTTCATTACTTAGGCAGGCGGCTCTCAACCAGGGGTAATTTTGCCTTTCAGACAGGGGCCATTTGGCAGTGTCTGGAGAAACATTTGGGTATCACAGCTGGGGAGTGCTACTGGCATCTGGTGGGCAGAGACCAGGGATGCTGCCAAAGATCCTACACTGCACAGGACAGCCCCACAGCAAAGACTGATCTGGCCCTACACGTAGGTGGTGTCGAGGCTGAGAAGCCATGACCAGCTGCTTCCTGCTCCCCGTCTCCCTTCTGGCACTGCACGTGTCAAGACCAACTCACTTCTTCATTGGTTAATCCAACGAACACTGTGCACCCTTTATTTTACTACTAGTATCACTACCACCACCGCCATTAACAACAACAAGCACATCTTCCACTCACTGGCCAGTGCCCTGTGCCCAACACCTCATACGTTACGTCACGCGTTCTTCACAGTAGCCCCGTGATACAGGCACGATCAGCTGCTTATACAGAGGCTCAGATGATCAAGTAACCCTTCTGAGGTCACTCTGCAAAGCCAAGAACTGAATCCAAGTCTGGCTAAGCCCAGGGCCCACAGTCTTGACCCCGGGCTGTGCTGCTGTCCAGAGTGACTTCCATGCATTATATGACACTGCTGACCACCTTCTCCAGCCAAATCTCTTCTTCCCGGGCTTCTGTGACACCACTCATTCTTGGTTCTTCCACCAAGTGTTCCTGTGACTCAACTCCT